ACTATAGAATTGTAGGATTTGTTCCTGCTCTTTAAATGTACTCCCTGTCAAAGTCAACACCTCCTTGCTAAAAAACATGATTGCCTGGGGCCAAGAATATTAAGATTTGCTCTGTAGCACTAAAGAAGGAGTCATGGGTTCTGCTCATTTAGACTCATGCTTTCCCACGACTCCCCACACATAACTGTGCCTTATTCCGTTCCTACTATAAAATCCAAATGTAATAATGCTCTCTCACCCCTGGAAAGTTCTTCAGGCTCCAAAGAGCTTGAAGAGCTTTAACCATATAAGCCCTTTGACCAGCTTTTTGCTCTGTGTTTCTACGGTGATTGCTGCGGCAGGACCTTCACCATTAATATGTCACACACCTCAAGACCAATGCTGTGTACACACGGCAGTGCACAGGCTGTAACAACAGTAAATTAAGAAGCACATAAACATAAGCTGGTTTCAACAGTGAACTGAGCTCAGAAACAGACATGACACCGTGTTCATGGTTCAGGTGAAACTCATTGTCTCACTCTATATTTGTTATGATTCCTTTCTGGTTTGGCTTACGGCCATAACTCAAGGAATTATGCCAAGCACTTGAGACAAGCACTTAAGACAACTTACGGGCAATCGAATTTGTGTGCACCATCCTGCTAATATCATTGATAAAGCTCGAGTGGTGTCCTTATTCATGTCCTTTCATAATGTGCTGGTTTTTCGTAAAATTACTTTGTGCTTTTTTTTTTTTTTCTACTTAGAAGAGAAAAAGCAGAGCTATTTCAAAGTTAAAGAGCAGAACTAGCTAGCCAAAATATAGATACAACTCACAAGATGATGTTTTTCCTCACAGAAGTGAACAAAGAGCAGCAACAAACTAGAAGGGTCAAGGACAAAGTATAAGGATGGATTCTTCTCAGCATTTTTGTGACATGGAGATGAATAGATGCTTGAAGTTCCCATCTTGGTCACCGTCTATTCTATCCGCTGAGCTTAAGGGGATATTTTGTGACTTTTCCATAGGATGAAATGAACTGAAAGAGTTCATTCATTCATTCATGAGAGGAAATGTGAAGCTTCATTCTGTCTCTGTCAGAACCATGCCTGGAATAGGAAATTATTCTGCTAACCTCTTCAGGGCAGTGGCCATTGTTATCAACAGCTCTGACCTTCCGTTCAACAAATGTTGTTGAAGATCATTCATCGCTGTTGCTTTCTGCATTCAAATCAGATAACCTGGTTGAGCTGCAGCAGAGCTGGCTCAAGACTTTTTTCAAAATTAGGGACAATGCGCTGTTCCAATGATTCTGGGGAGCTCACGGTAGTAAGTAATTACCAGAGACCCCAGGAAGGAGCAAGGTCAGCACAGAGCCAGAGAGCTCAGGAGAGGGAGGAAAGACCGGACAAGGTCAATGAAGGTTCCAGGTTGAGGGGAAGAGCAGTGAACAGAGATTAGTGGTTTTTTTAAAGGGCATCAACCTCCCCTCTATTTCCAGACTAGCTCCTAGAGTCATCTGGCACTCCCTGCCCCATCCTACCCCACTCCTAGGACTTCTTTCTCTTCTCCCTGCCCCATAGAGAAAAAATGTCTCACAAGACTCACAGTTCCTCCCCTAGTTCTCCCTCCTACCCACACACCCCAAGTATTAAATAACAAAATCACCAGGATTTGTTGTTTTGTAGCTAAATGGGTGCAGTTTGGCAAATGAGCTGGATGACACAAGAAATGAGGGAATTTCTCATCTCTCCAGCATGTCCAATACATCCCAGGTGTAGGAGAGGATTCTAGCAGACAAAGTCACTGAACTCAGGCTATTTCCATTACATGTAACTAATTCCATATTATCCCCTTCATTAATTTAACAAAGTCCGTATTAAAAAAAAAAAAAAAAAAAAAAAAAAGGGGGTTTTTGCCTTCCCTTTTCCTATTCAACCTGGAATGAGCTTTTATCCTTCTTTGTTAATCACAAATCACCTTCTTCTTTCCAGGGCAAATTTACTCACAGCTAGTTTATGCTCTATTCTTCAAACACCAACATTGCTAAAAAGCATACATAGCTCCTACCTCTTTTGGCTACTCTGCCCCCAGCATTTTTGTAACTATAGATCTTGTGAATCTTTTGCTGGCTTAGAAAAGTCAGGCTCTTCCAGCTTCCCCCTGCAAAGCAGTTTCCATTCACCTGATCATTCTTGCTGTTCTTCCGTGCATCCTTCCTGACCAAATTTAGGTCATCGCAAATGCACACAGCATTCCAGATGAGCCCTTACCGAATTAACATCTCCCAGGTGGTACTGAACGTGCTCCTGAGACTTTCAAAGACTTGCACCTGCAGTTTTCATGGCTGCATTACTCTTGTGGCTCAGTAAGTGACACTGGCGCTCTGGCTGATCTTAGCACCCCCAACCTTTCCTTTTGTTTGTCTTCCCCAACTGATAAACTTGCCACCAAAATCCCTATCAAACCTATAATTTCTATGCATACCTTTCCATTTCTTTAAGTCAATTATTCAGTCATCTAGTTCTGTATCCTAATCCACAGTCTTGATGACTCTTAGGTTGCTTCATTGCTAAATTGCATAGTCTCAGCTCTACTGCTAATATTTTAAACAATCCCAGGACTAATCCTTGAGTAACTCCTTTAACAACCTCCCTGCTGTCACACACTTCTGATTTACTCTGCTCTTTACCGACTCTATTTCTTCTATTCACTGTCATCTGCCCCATCTCAGATCAATCATCATTATCTCCACACAATAATGGCTTTCTTTTATATGAAGCTTTCTGTCCAGTTTCAGGGAAGGCATGACTGAGATCAGCAGAGTTAGAGCAGGAAAGTAGCCCAATTTGTTTAAACTTAGTATTCCCTGAAAACAGAGAGTCTGAAGCCAGCAGATGTATAGCCAACCTGTCAGAACTGCAACGTTTTTCACATAGCCATAACAGCAAAAAACAGTAGGAGGGGTAGAGTTTGTCTCTGTGTCTACCTCTGCTACCCTTCTGTTGTTATATTGCTTGAGACTTGCGATTACATTTCTTTAGCTTAAAAATCTCTGTCTCCTTGTAAAACATATCCAAGCAAGAGGAAGCTGCTGGAAACTGGAACGGGAAAGTGGTCAGGAATCTAGGACCAGCAACTGCTCCATTCAACATAGGCCATGTGGTGACTACACGTGCCCCACATCAGCCTGACTTCTGCTCCAGCCAGGCACGTGGGTGTGATGGCAAGGACACAGAAGAGCTGAGCACGGCACAGCAGACAGGCTCTCGCCTTCCCCTTATGGTATGCTAATGGTGCACCTTCCTGAGAGCAGATAAGCAAACAAAAAGACAGTGGTCCAATTCTGCTTTCATCGGGGATAAATTTGGAGTCACTTCACTGACGTCAGTGGAGTTATTCCAGAATTGCACCAGTGTAAAAGAGGGCAGCATCTGCTTCCTGAAAATGGATGCCATCAAGCTAATTGAAAACAACAGATGCATCAACAAGCAGCAAGAAGAGACACTAGTGTTCCAGTTTTCTTGTAAAATACCATTTCATTTCTCTCCAGAGAATGTAGGAGAATAAACCAATATGATTTCTAAAAGCCAAATCTCTTGTTGGTGTAAAATTGTGTACAACCTTTTAGGTGAATGGAACCAACGTGTATCTACAACACCTAAAGAGATCTATTCAAGACATCTACACTTAGAGCCCTCTTCTTTGAGCCTGATTCATCTCTCACAGTTACTTAAATTAGAAGTCCCACCGTTCATAGCCTTAAGGATACATTTATTTAACCTCAGGTAAAGAGCAGAGTTGCGACCCCAATTTTCTTTAAACAACCAACGGCTACAATAAATTCCCAAATTTAAAATTTAAAAATAAATTTGGTGATTAAATCGGTACATTTATGACTTACATTTAGCACTTTTTGACTAAGGGCTCCCAAAACTTTACACCACTGAATCTTTCTATCCATTCAGTGAAAGTGAAGCCAAAGAACTGAACTTTCAGTGACATTTTTTATGAAGAGGTTTCCCATGAGTCTTGTTTCTAATGAATAGGCAACGGGGCTTCAGTATTTTAGAGTGACCATGGAAATTAATGAGCACTTTCTCTCCTGTAAATCCTTTCCTTTCTTTCACTAAGAAAAAGTTGTACACAGGGAAGTTTAATCTATTGCTTCAGCCCCTCTTAATCTGCAGTACAGACAACATGGCTATTTCCTGCGGTGAGTGTTTACCAATGAATGTTTATGCTTTAGGAACATAAAACCCACACTGATCACAGTTATGTGTTTCCCAAAGTGTAAAATTATGCTATAAAATCCAAGCTCTTGTGCCAGCCAACAAGCCCCAGACAGACTTCCCTGGAGCAAGTGAAAACCCAGCCCGTTAGGCAAGGCATATAAATTGACAGATGCTAACAACATAAGCTACTCTGGAAATCAAGGTTACTGCGGTCCCGGTCTGCTTTCCCCAAAAAACATTATTCTGGGTTTACCTCCCTGACTGGGGTCTTGCCTTACTTAGGACCTGACCCTGCACAAGAGCTCCATCTCGTAACTGGTGGGCAATTTCATCACCAGCTGCCTTTGGTGGCAGCTAAGGACACTCAGCATGCACTGGTTCATTTTATCAGAAGATTAAGTCTTTTCATCCTGCAAGCACTTGCTCCCCTCCTTCACTTTATGTGTAAAGCAAATGGCTGTAAGTCAGGGATTCGACTGTGAGCTTGCTGATAATACGGCTACAGATGTCTTCAGAACAGGATTTGTCTAGAGTGTGAGCTCCAAAGAGCAAAGATGAAGAGCTCAGACTGTGCTTTCTATTACAGCAATGTAAACAGAACTATCTTGCGCTTACAGGGCTGCAGCTGAGGGCAGAATCTTGTTTCGTCCTAAACTTCTCTATGAATTGTGTCTGCACATTTCCACCGTTGAGAAAAACAAAGGAACAAAATGCTGCTGCTCTCATTTTCGTCAATATAAACGTAAAGAGAAGGTTAAGTTTGCTGAGTTTGGTAGACTTACTTAGACTTAAGTCAGATGGGAGCTTTTGGGAAAGCTGTGGTTAACTCCTGCTGTAATCTGCAGATCTTTCCCTGATGTAAACAGGACCTCAAGAAAAGAACAAACAAAAATAAGCATTTTAACAAATAGTGCATATGTTTTGGCATGATGCAGAAGACTGAAGCTGGAGCCCAGTATAAACCAAGGTATTGTGCTAAATGGTGTTTTGCCAACTTGAATCAGCAGATGGTGAGGATCTGGCTCATTCTATATTTTTGTAGTTTATAATTATCTTTCTTTCTTCACCTAGAACCAGATTCTCCCTTTAGGCTGCAAATCTTAATTAGGAAATCCTTCCTCATTAATTGCAAGGAAGTCTTAGTCATTAATTTCACATAAGAAAAAGAAATCTTACCTATTTCTGCTACAGCAGCAGACACTGGAGCTCTTTGTTCCTTTGCTGTTAGGGTTGATGCTGTTCTTTCCATCACGGTATGGAAGACACTTCAGTCCTTACCCTGTCTCTTGCTGCCCTGAATTTCCTTTATACTCATTCTTCTTTATCTCAATAGGGATCTCTGTACGCTGAACAAGAGGGCCTAGGAGAGAACACCAAGTCCAGTCACCTTCACCCCCACAGCTGCTGTAGCAGTGAATTTTTATCCATGAAAGCTGGATCAAAAGGAACAGGGCCAAACTAGAAAATTGCTTAGAAATCCCAAATTGCAACATTTTCCAAACAGGAGCAGAATAGGAAATTATCTTGGAGGTAAACGCAAGAATCCACCGGTAACGTAGACTTTGAAATATCGTAGAACAGGTCTTTGTGCCTTTCACGCTTACAGTCTTTTCTGTGGTCAATGAGTTGCGGATAAAAAAAAAAAAAAAAAAAAAAAAAAAAAAAAAATTCTTCCTTTCCTTTCTTCCCCAACTCCAACAAGATGATTTATGACCTGTCCTGCTTTGGTGCAAAACATCCTGTGGGAAAATTACCTGGGGAAGTGATTGTCACAGAACAGCCAAGGGTTCAGGAAGGAGTGATAGTCTCTTCCGCAGCAAAACTATTTCCTAGTGAGATTGTTGAAAGAGAAGGTTCTGTTTTTTTTAATGTGATGCTTTAGCTTGTGTTCCTTGTCACTGGGCACCTAGATGACTCTCATTCACAGGCCAGTTGTCCCTCAGGTCCTTGACTGAGCACTCAGATTGTCCTTCACACACTCCCCACCCCTCTGTGTGCAAGGATATACGGATAAAACCCCTTCCCACCTCCTGCTTTGCACTCTCTGCTTTCAGATTGAGATTACTGTCTGTCTGGAGTTGAGCAGAACAGTTGTACGTGATATAAGGTGATGAGGTCATCTTCAGTAAGCAAAGAAAACAGCTGTAAAGATTAGGTATTAATATCCAAGAACTGAAAATATTCAGCAAGTGCTTTTGCTTGTAGCCAATGTCACAGGGCAGAGAGAAACAGTCTGGGAGGTTGTTATGGAAACAAGTCCCTGGAGGTGCCTACTTTGCTTCTTGAGGATGCGCTCTGCCTTCATAAGGAAATAGCTAGACAGACAGACAGATCTGTATTTTGAACATCCAGGAGTGAGTGCTAAGAGCCAAGAACCCGAGGTTTTCAAAGCATCTCTGTGATTCGGTGATGTGAGACCTCTGTCAAGTCAATGGCACGGGCGTCACTACGTCACTTCAGTCACTTGAAAAAAATTCCAAAGGCTCCTTAATAAAAACGTCGAATTCCAGAAGTTCTGTAATATCTAGTATTATTGCTGACTCTGGGGCTTCACTGCCTTGCTTCTCAGGAGATGCTCAGGGCGGGATTTACACGCCTAGACCTAAGTCCCTATGTTAGAGCTTCTAGGCTTTTGTTAGCTTTTTATATTGCTCTTAGTTCTAACACAGAAAACCCAGGGAGCCAACACCGCTCCTGTTTTGCACATTTTCATTTGCACTTTCTGTTCGGAACTGAAAAATGTGGCTTGCAAAAACTGCACAAAGCTGTCTGTTTGCAACAAAGTTCCTTCACACCGGTGTGTTGTGTGCGCATGCGTGCACGTGCCTGTGTGCAGACAACACTCCAGCTAGAAACTCACTGCTGAATTTCACCTGAGAGCAGGAAATCTCTTTACAAGAGCATCTTTACAAGACACGCTGGGATTATGCTACCAGTAATTTGTCTCACATCTTTTTTTTTTTTTTTTCTTTCTTTTGCTGGAGTCTCCATGCCCAGCTGTCTGTCATGCTGGTCGGGAGAACAACCTGTTCTGAGCAGGGAAGGCTCCTGCCTGGCAGGGGCAACGGGGTCAGGCCCAAGGGAAGAAACAAGCACGGGAATTTTCTGACGTAGGCTCAGTGTGCCTCATGCCTCCTCCTGAACTTGTGCTTAACCTGAGTTTTTTATATCTTACTTTGGGGAAACTTTTATCAGCTGATACAGTCAGGCATAAAATAACCCCAAACATGGGCATTCTGCTAGGAGACAGCAGCAGCCTTGAAACATCTCTCTTAAATAACAGGTTCTGTTGGTAGTTTCTAGTACATCTGCTAGAGCAACACAAAATTTGAAGAAGAGTCACTCTTTTGCCCTCACATTTCATTATAGGGACCCTGAAACACAACCAAGCACAACAACATATTTTTACTGAATTAACTTAATGACCAAGACAACTTTTCACACAAAATCCACAGAGATGCCACTGTGCTGATCCTTCCTCAGTCCCGTTTATTCACCAGGATTACTTACCCAGCAGCTGGTTACAGGCTTCAGGGGAGGTAGAACGGCTCCCAAGGCCCAGCCCTTCACAGACGTTTCCCTCAGTCCCGATGAACCAAAGAGGAATTAGGTGCCTAAGGTATCCAGGCAAGCTCCTCTCAGCTACAGAGCCCACACCACATCACACTCGTGCCTCTCAGACTGACCCGCAGTAACAGAGACAAGTGGCGTTTTGCTACCGATTTCAGCGAGAGAGAGAACAGAGGTTTTAATATAATGGTTGTGTGCTGACCCCGAGGGAGATCCCTGCACATTAAAAACCTTTGAGGAGACAACGGGACTCTGGAGAAATGAAGCAGTTGGGATTTGCACAAACAACTTCTACCATATGAGCAGGGCCCAGAGGAGGAGAGGCCACAATAAAAGCACTCTAGGCACAGAGCCAGATCTCAGGACAACGAAAAGCAAGCAGGGTAACGAAGATGCAAACAGATCCCATCTCACAACCAGTTCTACAGCCAGTTCTGACTATATTGAAGTATATGCCTTTAGAGTTCTTAGCCTTATGGTTGAAAAGCATAATATATACATATACATAAAATGTATTCTATAGATTTTTGCATCTTGATATTATGTCTGGTTTATGTATTACATGTGTCACATGCAATATGTAGTACATTCTAATATGCATATCATACAGCATGATGCAAGGCATTAATGACTGCCTTTGCTTTCATACACATGCACGCATGTGAATGCAGAATATACACTTAAAATTTAAAACAAGAAAGACTTTTCCTTGCAGGAAAATTTACCAATAGAATCTGAAAGCATCCATTTCTCCTTCTCACCCACTGGCAGCATCTGAAACCTTTTAAAGTTAGATGTAAGGCGGAGCTGATTAATAAAATGAAATGATCTGGGAAGCAAAATGTGCGTCTTAAGATGCAAACCTCTGGTCCCTCGACAAAAGCATCTCTTCAAGGCTAGCTGTTTCTCCCCTCATTTGAAAGGTCTGGGGTATGCTGCTGGCTTTGTGCAGATGGCTTAGGGAAGTTTGTATCCGTGCCAGTCTAAATCTCCAATGTTGACACACTTACCCTGGGGCAATTTACGCCTGTGACCCGCTAAATCAGTGCAATCTTCAGACAGCACAAGTGCAGCCGCCTGTGGTCAGGGTTTTTCAGCAATGTCAACAAAATACCAGCATGCAAACTTCCCTCGGCTGTACAAACGCTTCAGTAAAAACGCAGAGGAGTCAACGGCTCTCACATGCCTGTATACAGAGCTGGGTATCTGAGGCATAAAGTACATCTCATTAAACGCTTTGTGTGGAGATAAACTGCGGAGATAACAAATGAATTTACTCAAATGTGCCTTGCATCAGAAGGCACTTACCACTATGAAGATTAAGTTGGTACCATAAAAGCTAATTGACATCAGGGCACTGGCATAACTAAGGCTGAAATAAGCTCAAAACACAAAGAATCTCCACCGAGACTGTTGATTTCTATAAGCCTGGCTTTGATAAATGGTATATGGTCACAAGTAGCGAAGAGCTTTTGATCTATGCACTTTTCTTCTGAAACACAAACCAAAAGGATCTTTAGCATGCCAAAGGTTGCAAAGAAGGCAAGCATCTGCTTGCTGACTTTCCCCTACAGCTGCAAAACTCACTGTGATGCTGGCTACAGCGTTTCCATTATTCAAAGGCAATGGCATGGCAGGCGTGACTGATCCCACAGCCAAGGGCACTGCGCTGGCACAGGAACTAAGGGCACAGCTTAAGCCAGATGTTTGTAGCCCCTTTAACTGTTTACTCCCTGCTGAATCCTTCAGCTGAAGTAGTGGCAAGGGCTTCTCTGCTAGTGGAGTAGAAAGGCAAGGTTTCAGAGCAAATATTGGATTAAAGCAGTCTTCAAAAGGAGAAAGTAATTCACGAGGGAGTGGGGGATGACAGCTAGAGCTCCACGGAATAAAGCAAGAACATTTCTGGCTGCACACGGTAATGAGAAACAGCAAATCAGGACAGAAGAGCCCATTATCACAATCATTCTGTTTACGGTATCACAATTCACAGTCTGGCATTTAAATGCTGAATAGATCCAGCTGCTAGTAGGAAGACGGCTGTGCAGCAGCTTGCAGATCCGTGTCTGGATCCAGGATAACAAATCTGATCACACCTCTGTCAGCATTTTCTTCTCTTTATAACCCTGGTTGTTGGGAGGAATGAAGTTGGAATATTTCATGGACTCCAGGTCTTCTGCTTCCAGGAATTCAGATTTGCTAAGAGACTGATTACTGTCCCCCTTCTTGGGCTCAGAGAAAGGTGACTGCTGCTGGCCACAGGTGACATGGGTGTACTGGCACTGCTCTTCATGATCAGTCTCTCGGTGGTAGAAGTAGTTGAAGTTGGACACGATGACAGGGACGGGCAGGGCGATGGTGAGCACACCCGCGATGGCACACAAGGAGCCCACGATCTTGCCACCAATTGTCATGGGATACATGTCCCCATAGCCCACGGTGGTCATGGACACCACCGCCCACCAAAAAGCATCAGGGATGCTGGTGAACAGGGAGTCGGGGTCATCAGTCTCTGCAAAGTAAACGGCACTGGAGAAGAGGATCACCCCGATGAAGAGGAAGAAGATGAGGAGGCCCAGCTCCCTCATGCTGGCCTGCAGAGTCTTCCCCAAGATCTGCAGCCCCTTGGAGTGCCTGGAGAGCTTGAAGATCCTGAAGACCCTGACCAGGCGGATGACTCTGAGGATGGCCAGGGACATGGCTTGCTGCTGGCCCCCGTTGTTGCTGCTGCTGCCGGGCTGCTGCTTCTGCTGCTGCTGCTGGGCCAGCTCGGTGCCCAGGGTGATGAAGTAGGGGATGATGGCCACGATGTCAATGATGTTCATGATGTTGCGGGAAAACTCGGGCTTGCTGGGGCAGGCGAAGAAGCGCACGAGGAGCTCAAAGGAGAACCAGATGATGCACAGGGTCTCGATGAGGAAGAAGGGGTCAGTGAAGAAGGGACCGGCGCCAGCAGCGGGGCGCAGCCTGTCTCTTATACACA